GCGGCGGGAGCCCTGGCCCCCCCGGCTTGGCTGGGGGTGGGAGGAGGGTGCGGAGGCCGCACTGAGGTTGAGGAACCAGAGCATCAGGCTACTCGACCCGGAGCCCAGCCTGGGAGCGCAGGGAGCCCCGCAAGGCGTCGACATGCTTTCCAGCCCAGACACCCGCTGCATCGAGGTGTAACACCTGCTCGAATTTTGAGTGCAAATTCCCCTCTCGATCCATTTTATCTCCTTTATCGAGCCCCTTCCTTAATACTCCTGTGAGTCATCACACATATTCTTTCACTTTTAAGGATTTTAAAGTTGGAAATCTGCTTGGTAAAGGATCATTTGCTGGTGTCTACAGAGCTGAGTCCATTCACACTGGTTTGGAAGTTGCAATCAAAATGGTAAGATTATATTGATCAACTTCTCACCTCTCCTAGAGAAGTGTAGTACTTGAGATGTCAGAAACTCCTTATCTGACAGTCTTTTCTTTGAGTGTGATGTAAAGAACCCATTGCTTAGGTAGAAGAAAATAGCCCACATCCAGCAGTTGAATTTAAGGATAACTTAGAAGGTCCTTGATCATGATTAAATAGTTGTTTTATCTTCATTAATGTCAGTAGACCTAGTATCTGTTCCAATTATATATACGTGGAGTCATTGGTAGAATTCAAAGAACAAATAATGATTTGTTTTAATAAGAGTACACTTGTGCATAGTTCTGTGTTACACTGACAACCTAAAATGCTCTTCTTGACTATTAGAATGAGTAATATAAGCAATTAAGAGTCCCTTATCTAAACCACTAGGGGAGTTTTGCTTTAAAGCTTGGCTAAATTGTTATTATAGATACGATAGTCGTGCTATTAAATTCTTTAAGTTGTGAGAAGGTATTAGACTGCACTGGGCAAACTTTTCTAAATGTTCACTCTGCTATGCAATCTGCTAAATGCAAGGGGAAGATAGACAACAGTAAATTGATCTCATAAAGAAGTGGGTAAAAGGCATTCAGAATATTTTAAAGTGTTCGTTCGCTTTTCAAAGTTAACTTTAGACTACTTCATGTTTGAAAGTTTATCATCAATATCTATACCTCTCATGTTATTTTTAGATAGATAAGAAAGCCATGTACAAAGCTGGAATGGTACAGAGAGTCCAAAATGAGGTGAAAATACATTGCCAATTGAAACATCCTTCTATCTTGGAGGTAAAATACAATTTTATAAAATTCGCCAAGGACATTGGATTTTTGTATATTATAATTTATTGTGCTCTTTTAAATTTCAGCTGTATAACTATTTTGAAGATAGCAATTATGTGTACTTAGTATTAGAAATGTGCCATAATGGAGAAATGAACAGGTATCTAAAGAACAGAAGGAAACCATTCTCAGAAAATGAAGGTAGGCTGCTGCTTTTTTTCTTTTTTAGTAGATATAAATTTTACTTTTTGTGGTTTTGAAGAATGTTGTATTACAAAAGAGAACTGTTTTAATTGTTACTTTGGACTACAAAAGGAGATTCCCCACCCCCAATTGTAAGAGCCATTAATTCCTATAAAATATCCAAGCATTACAGAAGTAAAGTAAGTGGAGAAATTTTCCAAAAATTACACTTTAAATTAAATCTGTAGCAATTTAGTATGTATCCTTTTAAATCTGTAAAAAGCTCTTTAGAGCCCTAGCCGGTTTGGCTCAGAGGATAGAGCGTCGGCCTGTGGACTGAAGGGTCCTAGGTTCAATTCTGGTTGAGGGCACATGCCTGGGTTGCAGGCTCCATCCCCAGTAGGGGGCCTGCAGGAAGCAGCCGATCAATGATTCTCTCTCATCATTGATGTTTCTATCTCTCTGTGCCTCTTCCTTTCTCTCTGAAGTCAATAAAAATATATTTTAAAAAATAAACAAAAGCCGTAACCGGTTTGGCTCAGTGGATAGAGCATCGGCCTGCGGACTGAAGGGTCCCAGGTTCGATTCCGGTCAAGGGCATGTACCTGGATTGCCGGCACATCCCCAGTGGGAGGTGTGCAGGAGGCAGCTGATCGATGTTTCTAACTCTCTGTACTTCTCCCTTCCTCTCTGTGGAAAGTCAATAAAATATATTTAAAAAATAAGTAAATAAATAAACAAAAAGCTCTTTAGAATGCTGTTGATGACTATAAAATAACTTCTAAGTCAAGCACAAAATAACTATTGAAGCGACTTACATAGAAAATATCAAACATAAATAGAGTAGTATAATGAGCCCCCATGAAGTTAAACCATTCAACCTTTAAAACTATCAACTCGTGGTCAAATTGTTTCATTTGTATCCTTATTCCCCCAAGTTCCTAGAGTATTTGAAGCAAATCATAGACTTTTTAATACATATATATACACATATACTAGAAGCCGTTGCACGAAGATTCGCGCAATAGGCCTTCCTTCTCCTGGCTGCCGGCACCGGTTTTCCTCCGGCACCCGGGACCCAGGCCTTTGGTTTGGCCGCAGCAGAGAAGAAAAACAAACACATAGATACAGACCACAGTATGGTGGCCACCCGAGGGGAAGGGTGAATGAGTAAAGGGGTCCAGTACATGGTGACAGACGGAAACTTGGCTGTTGGTGGCAATGATGCCATAGAGCAGGGGTCCTCAAACTTTTTAAACAGGGGGCCAGTTCACTGTCCCTCAGACCATTGAGGGCCGGACTGTAGTTTAAAAAACACTATGAACAAATTCCTATGCACACTGCACATATCTTATTTTGAAGTAAAAAAACAAAACGGGAACAAATACAATATTTGTATTTGCATGTGGCCCGTGGGCTGTAGTTTGAGGACCCCTGGTATATATGTATGTGTATATATATATATATATATATATCTTTAAAAGATACAGACCTAAGAAAAATAACCACAAAATCATTATCACATCTAATAATTTCTTACTAACAAATACATAATCAGTTTCAACTTTCCCAGTTTTTTATAAATAACTTTTTACAGTTCAGTTCAGGCTCACATGTAAGGTCCATACATCATCTCACAAAACATTGTTTTCATATTATCTTGCCCTGCTAACACATTGCAGGTAAACTAAGAAAGGTGGTTGCTGATAGACTTTTTATACATTAAAATCTATATAACCTATTTGAAAAACAATTTGACCATATGTACTAGGAGTTATAGAAATGTTCATATCCTTTGACTTAACCCTTTGTGGTCCAATGTTACTTTTGGAATTCAAACAAACAGTCTGGTCCAAATTAATTGACGGGATTGAATGTTGAGCTTTCTAATGTTCTTATTGCTTGATGTTGGACCTGCTCCTAGCGCCTGGTCTGTCGAGTCAGCCTCGAGATTGGACCGAAAAGCGTTAAAATAAGGACATAATTCAAATTGTAAATAAACCCATACAAATATTCATGGCGATTAATGTATTTTTCATAATACTATGTAATAAAAGGCCTTTTTATTTACTTATTTTTAAGATTTTTTGTTGTTGTTAATCCTCACCTGAGGATATTTTTTCCATAGATTTTTAGTTAGAGTAGAAAGGAGGGAGGAGGCAGTTAGAGAGAGAGAATGAGAAACAGAAACATCAGTGTGATAGAAACATACATCATATGTCCTGGCTGGGGCCAGGGATGAAATCTATTACCCAGGTACATGCCCTTGACTGGGAATTGAACCTGAGAACCTTTGGTCCATGGGCCAATGCTCTAAACTACTAAGCAACTGGTCAGGGCTAAAGATTTTTTTATTTTCAGAGAGGAAGAGAGAGAGAAACATCAATGTGAGAGCAAGATATCAATTGGCTGCCTTCTGCACCAATTTCCTATAGGAAATTGAGCCGGCAACCCAGCCATGTGCCCATCCTGTAAACAAACCAGCAACCTTTCAGTGCACGGGATGATGCCCAACCAACTGAGCCACAAGGGCCAGGGCAAGGCCTTTTTAAAATAAGACAAACGTGTAAAAACAATGAAGGAAAATGATTATTAATTTACTTAAAATTAAGAATGTGTATGGCAGAAGAGTCTGCTAACAAATTTAAATGACAAAGATTGGAAGACAATATTTGTAAACTATATGCCTGTCAAATTAATATTAAAAATATAAGGCATGCCTAAAAAAGGTAAATGGGGGATATAAGCAGACTGTCTACAGAAGAGAAAATACAAATGGCCATTAAATATGAAAAGATGCTCAAACTCAATAGGAATCATAAGAATGCCAACTAAAAAGAGTACCATTTTTTTTTTTTTACTCATTGGATTGAGACTGCCTAATATGAACAGGGATATGCATAAAAATACAGCCTTTATAGAGCAATTTGGCAAGGTATTACGATATGAAATTTAACCCTTCAGTACGGTGATTTTACTTTTTGAATTTACCATGGAGAAACACCCCATGATATGCACAAGAAAACAAGCATGTACAAGAATGTCTATTGGCCTATGTTTTGTAATCTTGAAATTATAGAAGTGACCCAAATTTTCATCAGTAGTTATTAAATAAAAATAAGATCTATGTGTGACAGAAATATCTCCAAGAAATATTGTGAAGTGGAAGAGAAAGTAATGAAACTACATTTTTATTCCATTTTTATATTTAAAAAGCAATTATTACAACATATTTTTGTTGATGTAAGCACAAGCATGAAAATATATACAAACTGTTAATGATGATTGCATTTTGGTAGGGTTTGGGGGACATCAGTGGACCTTTTGCTTTTTTTTTTTTTTTTTCCACAAGAATGTATTTGTTTGTTCATTATAAAATTTTTCTCTTAATTGCTAGATACTTCTGGTTAACCTATTTACTTCCAAATGCTAATAAAATTAAGTTTCCCTTAAAAGCATACAGAAAACTCATCAGTTAGAAAGGACAAAGATTAAATAAAAGGCGTGCCTAATAGTCTTAAAGGGAATTAAAGAATATTATGAAATTATCAGAGTGTTATTTGTTTGGTAAAAATAAAACTAAGCTGCAAGCCAGTGTCCTAATTTTAATACTCTGGCATGTGTACTTGGATTTCATAATGTATTTTAAATACTTAATGTTACAGTTTTTCTAAATCATAGGTTTTATGTTTTGCATTCTAACAGCTCGACACTTCATGCACCAGATCATCACAGGAATGTTGTATCTCCATTCTCATGGAATACTACACCGGGACCTCACACTTTCTAATCTCTTACTTACGCGTAATATGAACATCAAGATTGCCGATTTTGGGCTGGCAACTCAATTGAAAATGCCACATGAAAAGCACTATACGTTATGTGGAACTCCTAATTACATTTCACCAGAAATTGCAACTCGAAGTGCACATGGACTTGAATCTGACATTTGGTCATTGGGCTGTATGTTTTATACATTACTTATTGGGAGACCACCTTTTGACACTGACACAGTCAAGAATACATTGAATAAAGTAGTATTGGCAGATTATGAAATGCCAACTTTTTTGTCAGGAGAGGCCAAGGACCTTATTCACCAGTTACTTCGTAGAAACCCAGCAGATCGTTTAAGTCTGTCTTCAGTATTAGACCATCCTTTTATGTCCCGAAATTCTTCAACAAAAAGTAAGGATTTAGGAACTTCAGAAGATTCAATTGATAGTGGACATGCCACAATTTCTACTGCAATGACAGCTTCCTCCAGTACCAGTATAAGTGGTAGTTTGTTTGACAGAAGAAGACTTTTGATTGGCCAGCCTCTCCCAAATAAAATGACTGTATTTCCAAAGAATAAAAATTCAAGTGATTTTTCTTCTTCAGAAGATGGAAGCAGTTTTTACACTCATTGGGGAAATCAAGAACAAGAAACCATTAATAGTGGAAGGGGAAGAGTAATCCATGATGCAGAAGAAAGGCCACATTCTCGATACCTTCGTAGAGCCCATTCCTCTGATAGATCTGGCACTTCTAATAGTCAGTCTCGAGCAAACACATGTACAATGGAACGATGTCACTCGGTAGAAATGCTTTCAAAATCCAAAAGATCAGGAGGAGATGAAAATGAAGAAAGATACTCACCCACAAATAGCAATGTCAATATTTTTCACTTTAAGGAAAAGATATCCAATAGTTCTGGATCTTTGGAAAGACCTGCTAACAATCAAGCACTGTAAGAATAATTTAATCAAAAGCTTTTACTTTTTGAATAAACATTGTGTTAGTATTAATTTGCCATTAATGAAGCTGCCTCTAACTAAAGGGATTTACTTTTTCTAACATTGTCAGATATTCTTTGGGATCTTCTTAACTATGATTTCTGTTTCTTATTAGGAAGAGAATCAGAATGATGATTTTGAATTGTAGTTAAGAATCTCTTTTAATATGAATATATGTGCTCATGAATGTATTTGTAGAGTATATTTAATACTTGGGAATTTTTAGTTTTGTTTATATGAAGCAGGTCTAGTGCAAAAGTATATATTAAACATGTTTAGTCTCTAAAGTACTTTATTAGTAACTATAAACACACACAGAGAAGCTGAGCCTAAGTGATGGGTAATCGTATTGTTGACTGCTTCTCACATGAAGACTAGATTTTTAGTGACTCCAGTGTTTACTTTTTTATTTTTATGATCTTTGATTTTTATGCTTACATCAGAATAAGGCAATAGCCATATAGAAACATAGTTACAGTGCCATGGGGATTTTGGCATGGGAGTTTAGCTTAGAGACAATTTAGTTATGCAGATATTGGTTTCTACAGTTATTCTAAAATCTTCAGTTATTCAAATAAAAGATCTCCCTTATCAAGTATCTTGAAAACCTATTACCTGATAATTTTGTATTAATTAATGGGAATATTTTTTTCTTTGTTTAGCTCAAATCATCTTTGTCCAGGAAAAACTCCTTTTCCATTTCCAGACCAGACATCTCAGCTTGAAGTGGTGCAACAGTGGTTTGGAAATCTGCAAAAAATTGGTGAGTTTTTAGTGGACTATTTAATAAAAAATTGACAAGTGGACACTTAGCAAGCATTGCCATTTCTTTTTGGGTTTTCTTTATAAAATCATTTTCAATAAACTATAATAATAAAAGCATAATATGCTAATTAGACTGGACAGCTGAACAGCCTTCCAGACATCATTCCGGACGTCCTTCCTGACGAAGCCATCCCAGGGCTTTGGCAGAGGCAATTAGGGGCAATCAGGCAGGCAGGCAAGCAATTAGGGGCGATCAAGCAGGCAGGCAAATGGTTAGGGGTGATCAGGCAGGCAGGCTAGTGGTTAGGGGCAGTGAGGCAGGCAGGCAGAGGTGGTTAGGGGAGATCAGGCAGGCAGTTAGGGGCGATCAGGCAGGCAGGCAGAGGCGGTTAGGGGTGATTAGGCAGGCAGGTGGTTAGGGGTAAGCAGGCAGGCAGGCAGGTAAGCGGTTAGGAGCCATCGGTCCTGGGTTGTGAGAGGGATGTCTGACTGCCAGTTTTGGGCCTAAACCAGCAGTTGGACATCCCCTGAGGGGTCCCAGATTGCAAGAGGGTGCAGGCCAGGCTGAGGGACACCCCGCCCCCCATGCATGAATTTCGTGCACGGGGCCTCATAGTAATAACTTAACTATTGATTTTGAGTATTTATGTCAGCCACTATTCTTAATGCTTATTATATATTATTAACTTCTCATAAAAAAACACACAAGGATGGTACTATAGCCTTGTCTTAGGAAGGATGAGGAATTTGTGGTGCACAGGGCAAAATTTGCCAATCTACCCTGCCCAAAGAAGAGATAGGAGCAGGATTCCTACCCAAGCACTCTGGCTCAGAAAGTTGACAACCTCTCTGTTCTTACAGCCTCTCTATAATTAGCACCACTATCAGTGCCTATAAAATATTCAAGAGGATTTACCTTATTTTTAAGTAGAAGCTGATGTGGACATCATGGTGTACCAGTGGGACCTCACATACACTAAATTACACAGCTACTAAAAACATAAACTTTTTTTTAAAGCTTATTGATTTTAGAGGGAGGAAGAGAGAGAGAGAGAAACATGAATTTGTTGTTCCACTTACGTATGCATTCATTGGTTGCTTCTTTTTTTTTTGACTGAAAAGATGCCTAATTTATTTTATGTTTTAAAGATGCAAAGCAAAACAGAACACTATTTTACAGGCCACAACTGCCAAAAACCACACAAGTTGAAAATTGGTTGCTTCTTGTATGTGCCCTGACCGGGAATCAAACCTGCAACCTTGGAGTATTGGTACTACGTTCTAACTAACTGAGCTACCCGGCCAGGGCCAAACCTAAACATTTTTAAAACAGCTGGGTTTGAAAGTTAAACATTTCTCTTTAATGAAATTGACAGAGTCACAGATGGTAGATTGGAAAATAATGATGTAAATAAGACAGAATAAAAAAGAAACATACGGAGGGGAGGGGATTATTTTTTACTAAGTATTATGTTACCTCACACAAAGAGTGCATAATATGGCTGTAATTTTAAGCAGAGAATTGTTGTTTCACCTCAAGACTATTTTTTTAAAAAATATGTTATTTTCAAGAGCCCAAGAGAGTTAACTTTCTCATGTGTATTTGTTGAAGATGATAATTGAAATTTATATTTTTTAAACTATAAAAGTGCTGTGTACTTAATCTTGTAGTTAACCTTCTATTGCACGTATAGATACTTTTATTTAGTAGCATGGACATATCTGAGATGATATATCTGAGATTATTATTACATTTATAATCTAGTAGGGCTGCTACAATTTTAAAGTACAATATTGGATATAAAATATTTCTGTCATAACAGGAGTAGAGGGGGAAAGCACTAAAACATAATTAGGGGAAAAGCTGCGATACAGATTTTTAGAGTTTAGCATTTGAAAAATTGTCTTACTACATTTTATATTATTTAATTTTCAGGGCTTTAAAAAGTAATGTTCTTATTTGAATACTAAAACCATGTGAAATATAAATGTGTAAAGTTCAATAACTTTTTTAAAAATGTGGATGCAAATTCATTTGTAATATTAAAAATATTAAAGCTATGTCATATATTGCTTTTTTTACTTCTAGTTGCATATTTTGTAGGTAAAAATGGACTAGAGACGATGGCTTCAAGAGAATAAATTTGCATATTAGATGGAATGATAACCTGGGAAATTCTCTCATATCTGTATTTGTTGCAGTATTGGCAGTTGCTTGTTTTAGAATTAGTAGGTGATTCTAGGTGCTTAGTTTTTGCTTTGAAAAATTAATTTCACATTAATCATTAATCTTTTTTAGTATTAAGAATACTAAAGATATTCCTTTGCAATATGGCTTTAAATGTTCTTTAAAGTCACTATTTTATTATGTCATATCTTATTTGTTAGAAAAATAATGAACATTTTTGTTGCTAGATTTCTTTTGTTCCTCAAAAAAATAACATCTAACCTGGCTGATATGGCCCAGTGGTTGAGGGTCAACCCATGAACCAGTCAGAACACATGCCCAGGTTGCAGGCTCAATCCCCAGTAAGGGGGCGTGCAGGAGACAGCCAATCAATGATTCTTTCTCATCATTGATGTTTCTCTCTCTCTCTCTCTGAAAAGCAATACAAACAAAAAAACAATAACAACAAACATCTGTTATAAGCAGCATGACTTGTTATGTAAGCTTGGTGTGTGTGTGTGTTTTTAATTATTTCACTCAATTGCTTTAATCTGTGTATATTACAGCTCATTTAAGAGAAACTACTGAGCACAAAAGCCTTAGCTCAAACAGAGATTTCCAGGACCATTCAGATTTGCAAGACACGTCAAGAAATGCCTGGACTGATTTAAGAGGCAGAAAGAGCCCTGGGGTTTCTGATAATGCGCATTCTGCAAAACAGCTGAATACCATGAAACATATAACTGCATTTCCTAATAAACCTGAGATAATTCCACAAGAATCTACTTTTGGCTTAGAACCTGTTTCTGAACAAAGCAAGACGAAGGATATGGAGCCACCATTGGGTTATCAGAAACATACATTACGAAGCATTACATCTCCTTTGACAGCTTACAGATTAAAACCAATCAGACAGAAAACCAAAAAGGCTGTGGTATGTCTATTATTTTTTAAATTTATTATGTAATATTTCCTTATGTAAATTGGTTTTTGGTATCAAATATGATGGGGTTTTTTTTAGTTTTCTATAAAGTTCCTGTACTTCTGATAAGTGAATAATAAGCTGATTTAAAAGAAAAGAGGTGAGGTGTTATGGAAAAAATGGCTTTTGTTTCTTCTGGCTACTTTAAAAATGGTGAATTGATACTGATACATTTTGAATTTTAAATTATTGATAATGAGAAACATTTCAAAATAATACCGGCTAGTTATTATGTTACATATTCATTCACAATTCCAATCACTAAATATTTAATATATTACCTTTTGCTTTTGTTTTTGCACATAATCCAGACTCAAAAAGGTAAACTAGAAAATATAACTTTTTTTTTAACATCTGAAACTATTTAAAAGAAAAGGAAAATGCACAAATTAAGTTTAAGAGTTTTAAAAAATATCAAGTGTGATTTGGGAATGATTTTTATTTTTTAATTACATCTTCATCCTGTTTTCCCGTTTTCTGTTGCCTTTGTTTGGCATGCTATTGTCTTTTCAAAGTCCTCAGTCTCCACCCTACCTTCTGCTTTCTTTCTTTCTGCTCACTGGCTATCGTTTCACACTTCATTATACCTTCTTACCCTTGCTCCTTATGTTTCAGCTGTGCTCAAATACACTTCCAGTCCAGACTGTTGCAGTGAAGCAGTTATTTTATCTTCACTTTGATTTGTTTTTCTGCCATGGTTAAGTACTTCTCTCTTAAGTATTATATATGTCAGTGCTGTTCTAGTAAACAAGATAGTTCTTACTGATTTTGGTTTTGTTTTTAGGTGAGCATACTTGATTCAGAGGAGGTATGTGTGGAGCTTCTAAAGGAGCATTCATGTCAGGAATATGTGAAAGAAGTTCTTCATGTATCTAGTGATGGAAATATGGTAATGTGGATCTACTTTATTATCTTGCAGCTTTATCTCTTAAGTGTTTAGCCTTCTAATCCATTGTATAATGATGTCTTAAAAAAATTTTTTTAAATTAGTTTTCCTGATAGGGATAGTGTCTCTGGAATTTAAGAACTAGAATAGCATACTACATATGTTTAAATAAATTAGTGTGGATTCAAAAATAATTATAACCAATGTCCTGGCCACTGTGGTTCAGTTGGTTGAGCGTTGTCCGGTACACAAAAGTTCTCGGGCTTGATTCCCACTGAGGGGTGTGCATGGGGCAGCCAATCGATGTTTTTCTCTCTCTTTCTCTCTCTCTCTCTCTCCCGCCGTCTTCCTCTCTCTCTCTCAAATCAATAAAAACATATTTAAAAATAATAGTTATTATAACTAGTAACAAAATCTAAACTTTAGGCCTAAGGTTAAAAAGCAAAAAAAAACTTACTTTTAGAGCATATTTAGCATCCGCTCTAATAAAGAGTTAATATGCTAATTGGCTGGCCTGCCCTCAAAGATGGCAGCACCCAGTCCCCTCAGCCCCGCCAGGGCGGCAGGTGGGCCTGGCCGCTCCACATACCTGCCTCTAGAGACCCCCAGTCCCCTCAGCCCCAGGGCTGGCCCAAGGCACAGGCAAGCCTCGAATGTCAGCTGCCCAGCCGCCCAGGGCTGACCAGAGGCGCAGGCAAGCCTTGAATGGCGGCTGCCCCGCCGCCCAGGGCTGCCCAAAGGCTCAGGTAACAAAGGCTGGCCGAGGCTTGCACTGCCGGCAGTGGCAGCAGCAGAGGTGGGATGGGGGCGTCGCCTTCCCCTGATCACCAGGTCGTCTCCTGCCCCTGAGGGCTCCCGGACTGTGAGAGGGGGCAGGCTGGGCTGAGGGACCCCACCCTCTAGTACATGAATTTTCATGCACCAGGCCTCTAGTTTTCAATAAAGTATTTAACTAGAGGCCTGATGCACGAAGATCGTGCATGGGTAGGGTCCCAAGGCCTGGCCAGCGATCAGGGCCGATTTGTGGGGCGACCCACTGGCACCCGCCTTGGCCGGCCTGGCACTGCCTGCTCGCTGGCCCCATCCCCCACCACCGCTGCTGGTCACCTCCCTCTGCAGGGCGATCAGCGGCCTATCGGGTGGAGGGAGGGCCCTCTGGCACCTGCCTTGGCTGGCCTGGAGCCTGCGGGCTGGAGGCAGTTCCTGGTCAGTGCGCATCACAGGGACTGGTCGTTCCACCATTCGGTTGATTTGCATATTACGCTGTTATTATATAGGATATTACATGTGAGCTCTTTTCATAATTTTTAAATATAGTGCTGTAACTTAATGGCATACAATTAGAATTCTTAAAAAATATTTTGGCAGATCACTATTTATTATCCAAATGATGGAAGAGGTTTCCCTCTTGCTGATAGACCGCCTTCACCTACTGATAATATCAGTAGGTACAGCTTTGACAATTTACCAGGTATGTAAATTTATCAGGGAACAAATCTAGATAATGGACTTTTATATGTATAAACTCTATACATGGTTATCATAGAGTTTAATATTTGGTTGTAATATTTGGTAAGATAGGATGTACCTTATTACTCCAATGTTTATTCCTGTTCTGTGTAATAATGGTAAAAACTAACTCTGGGATATTTGTGTTGAATCATGTTAAAAATTCAACATGAAGTATACAGTTTTTTGCTTTTGAAATAATGACTGCACTACATAAATGTTCATTTATAATTGTGGTTGAACAAGTTTGACTCCCAGTTCAGCTCCTACACATGGATTGGGGAATTATGTACTGAGTAGTAAGACTTCACTGAGGTGACAATTAGAAACATACAAGAAAATCTGTGTAACTTTACTCTTATTAGAAATCAAAGTAGGTATACTAGTATACCAGTAAATACTATAAATAACCATAGCTACAGGAAGCTGTAAAAATGTACTTGTGTAAGGTAGAACCATAAAACTGCTCTAAGAACACAAAAAGAGCTATATTTCTTTCTGAAAAACATTTGATTCTGATATCTCAGAAGTCTTTTCATTTCACTTACAAAAATTTTCTGGAATTATTGCCTTATTTATAAAAAGGAGGTGATTCAAAGAAAGCATTTTAAGATAATCATAATACCAGTCATATGTATTTCTTGGGAGTTTTACTAAACTATCTTTAGTTTTTATTGAAATAATAGACGTATATCTCTAAAAATATTTTTATTTTGGTACTGGGATTACTAACCTATCAACTTGAATTTTTGAGGTAGAGTAGAAATAAATATTAAATGTTTATGTAATTTACATGTCAAGTCAAAATTTTATTCTCTTATGATAGATAATTTTTTTCTCTTTTGCTCCCTAGAGAAGTACTGGCGAAAATATCAATATGCTTCCAGATTTGTACAGCTTGTAAGATCTAAATCTCCAAAAATCACTTATTTTACAAAATATGCTAAATGCATCTTAATGGAGAATTCTCCTTGTGCTGATTTTGAGGTTTGGTTTTATGATGGTGAGTACCATTTAAAAATGGTAACTTTGGCCCTTGCCGGTTTGGCTCTGGATAGAGCGTCGGCCTGCAGACTGAAGGGTCCCAGGTTCGATTCTGGTCAAGGTCATGTACCTTGATTGCGGGCTCATCCCCAGTAGGGTGTTTGCAGGAAGCAGCTGATCGATGTCTCTCTCTCATTGATGTTTCTAACTCTCTATCCCTCCCCCTTCCTCTCTGTAAAAAATCAATACAATATATTTTTAAAAAATAAAAATAAAAATGGTAACTTTGGGGACCATTTTCTCAATCCATTGAGATTTTGTTTCCCAGCAATTGTCAATAGTTTGGCTTAAGTAAACTCACAAAAATTCTCAAATAAATAAATTAATTAAAATGGTAATTTTTCCCCTTTTAGTTGTGGTTGTTTTTAATTCAACACAGTAATTTTTTAAGATTATATGTATGTCACATACATATGTACATATATGTATATATATGAGTTAAGACACTCAGATGAACACATACAAAATTATCCTATATAATAAAAAGGTAATATGCAAATTAACCCTCACGCCCTTACAATATGGCTGCCTTCGACCAGGCCGGTAGGGGAGTTAGTGAGTGACGACCAAATGACTGAACAGGCAGGCTCTGTGGGGCGACCAGGCCACCAGGGGGGTTAGTGAGGGACGACCAAACAACTGAACAGCAGGCTGCATGGGGCAACCTGGCTAGCGGGGGGTTAGTGAGGGATGAGGCTGGCAGCAGGGGGCAGTTAGGGGAAACCAGGCCAGAAGGAGGGGCAACTAGGGGTGATCAGACCAGCACGCAGAGGCAGTGAGGGGCAATCAGGCCAGCGGGGGGGCACCAGTTAGGGGTGACCAGGCAGGCAGGCAGGTGAGCAATTAGGAGCCAGCGGTCCAGGATTGTGAGAGGGATATCTGACTGCTGGTTTAGGCCTGATCCCGGACCGTCAGTCAGACATCCCCCAAGGGGTCCTGTATTAGAGAGGATGCAGGCTGGGCTGAGGGGAACCCCCCCCCCAATGCACAAATTTTATGCACCAGGCCTCTAGTCTATAATAATAAAAGCATACTATGCTAATTAGACCAGATGACCTTCCAGACGAAGCCAGGGCTGCGAGGGAAGCCCAGGTCCTGGGTGCCAGAGGGAAGCCAATGCCGGCAGCTGGGGGAAGGAAGGCGTACTCTTGCACGAATTTTGTGCATTGGGCCTCTAGTGAGAATTATAAATGTGCAAAAGAGTGGAACAGAATTAGAGATTTTTATGTTCCAAATCTATTCTATAATGATGATTTACTGTTTAATCTGTAAAGATCCCTACTTTAAGGGACACTAAGCACATACACAGTACACATATAATGATAGCTGCCTTTCAATTGTGTTTTTATATGAAAGCAGTGATTTTTTTACAATATCCTGTGTTTCATACTTAAGCCAGGTATGTGTAGAAAAGAAAAATGGATAACCTATATTTACTTTGAGAGCCTCATTTATTAATGATCAGTGAATGAATATAAATGATACTGTGATCTAGGAGCCATTATGTATAGGTATAATAATATAAATCTAGGACTATTTAAAGATATGGTAAAAGATAGTTTTCTTATTTTTTAAGGAACAAAGATACATAAAACAGAAGCTTTAATTCATGTGATTGAAAAGACTGGAAAATCTTTCACCTTAAAAGGTGAAAGTGAAGTTAATAGCTTGAAAGAGAAAATAAAAGTATATATGGACCATGCTAATGAGGTATGTACCTACTTACAGGTTTTTCATACCAATTAACTGATCACAAATGACAGTTGAAGTAATGACGAAAGCACTCTTCTTTTGAAATAGGGCCATCGTATTTGTTTAGCACTGGAATCCATAATTTCAGAAGAGGAAAAGAAAAGTGGAAGTGCTCCCTTTTTCCCAATAATTATAGGAAGGTAAATGTTTGAAAATTTAAAAAGTATGGCTAAAATGTATAGGAATTTTTTTTTTTAAGTTTGGTGATTACATTATGAACATTCTTTACCTTTCTATAAATTGTAAACTTTAAGGGACTATGCTTGGTCATTTCTTTCTCCTTCAGAAAACCTAGTAGTACTAGTTCACCTCAGGGCTTGTCACCTCCTCCTATGGATCCAAACTACCTGATGAGTAAAATGATCGTAAATAGTGCTGCTTCTCCGGAACAGGCACCAGCACTTAATCCTTCTGTAAGTATGTATATGTCACTTTTGTATCTAAAGTCCTTCAATGATTGCCTCATGCCCTTGATGTAAAATTAAAGCTGCTTATTATCACCTTCTGTACACACTTTACGTATATTAATACCTACCTACTTTTCTAGCCTCACACCGAGCTACTTTACCCTACACTTGCTGGGCCTGAGCCTCAGAAGCCTTCTTTTAGTTCTTTGAATAAGTCAGACTCTCAGGGCTTTTTCACATGCTGTTCACGTGACTGGGAAATCTTTTCCCCGACCCCTCAAAGGGTAATTCTTTCTCATCCGTAAGTTCTCAGTTTAAATCTTACCTCAAATAGGCCTAACCTTCTGAGAAAATAAATTAGAGATTGTTGTTTTATTTGTACCTGTAAAGTCCCATTAACTACCTTTATATCCACGATAGGCTTATCGTTAAATAAGCTTACTCTATTTTTACTCAATGAACTATTATGCCAATGAAGACTAGACAACAATGTAGTATAAAATACAACAGTGAAGAAATACATGTTTATATACATACATGTATGTACACACACACATATATATACATACATACTATAATTGCAACTATGAAAAATACCTTGGGATAAAAGAAAAGATACCTACCAAAATGAAAACAGCAATTGTGTGATTTTTTTTTCTGAGTTTTCTAATTTTTCATAATGTGGTCATTCTTTAATTTTTGTTCTTAAGAAAACTTATTCTAAGCTAATGAAAAAAACAATCATTTTCTACTTTTACTGAAGTTGGCTTATAAAAATGGGAAGGCATAATATCCTTCTGTCTTGTACTGTTTATAGATGGTTACAGATGAAGGACTTGGCGGGCCTATTGCAGCTTCTGGAACAAACATCCATTCTAGTAGTCTAAAAGATTGTTTTCCTAAATCAGCACAGCCTTTGAAATCTGTTTTTGTGAAAAATGTTGGTTGGGCTACACAGGTGAGAAATTTTAGAAAAATGAATTTTCTTAGTATGTTTGGTTTCCATAGTGATTAGACAATTACCCCCAAATAAAAATTATTTTAAAGGTTTCTCTTTGCAAGAAAGTTTTTACACCTTATTTTGCATTGGTTGAATCATTTAAAAAAAATAATTTTTTTTTACTTGTGTACAGTTGGAAAATTAGATATTGTTGATAACAAATTGCTTACTAGGACATGGGTGGCCTGTTTTTGCCCTTGTTTTTTAAAGTACAGGTCATGATAATGGCTAATTGTTAGGAGTTTAGAATGATGTCCAGGGCATTTTAAATTTTAGAAACTTTGTAATCTGTATTACAACAGTAACATTTATTTGGCCACAAGGGACTTTTTAAAAAAATATATTTTATTGATTTTTACAGAGAGGAAGGGAGAGGGATAAAGAGTTAGAAACATTGATGAAATAGAAACATTGATCAGCTGCCTCCTGCACACCTCCTACTGGGAATGTGCCCACAACCAAGGTACATGCCCTTGACCAGAATCGAACCTGGGACCTTTCAGTCCGCAGGCCGACGCTCTATCCACTGAGCCAAACCAGTCAGGGCCACAAGGAATTTTTGCATTTGAAAGTTAAATCCACATTGTGTTTCAAGCTTATAGAATTTTATGTAGGTGTGAAAGTATATGTGTGTATCATCTGAAAGCTTGAAGCTTGGAGACTTTTGAGGATAGCACATGTAATTTTCACTTAGCCGTAAAGTAAAATGCAGCCTAGGCCTTTATGGGGGTAGGAAATTAAAGAAAGGGGACTCAATATTTGTTGAGTACCTGAGATGTGGTACCATGTTTTTCACATATATTGTCTCATTATTTCTCCTAATAAAACCTAACATTGGTGTTATCTCCTTAAGTGTGGCTTATAATGGTTGATTGGCTTGCACTGTCCTACTTAGTTGGCAGTCTGGATTTAAACCCAGCTCTCTGATTCCAGAGTCCATGCCACTCTATTTGGAGTGGTACATCATAAATATCAGTGGCTAAAGGGAAAGGTTTCAAACTTAAGATATTAGGTTCTCAGGCAGAAGAGAAATTCGTTTGGCCTACAGACAAAGGATAGAAAGAAATCCTAATTTTAAAAAGTGCTGCTTTTGTTATTTCCTAAATCTATACTTGGTTAGAAATACTGTTTAAAAAATACTATTGGAAAACAACAAGAAAAACTACTCTGATGTACTACTGGAAGCAGGATTCATTTACAATAATTTTAATATTTTAATATCCTAACTATTAAAGGAATAGTCTGAAAAAGACATGCATTTTCTCAATGCTATTATTATCACAGCTCCTAAGAGGTTTGTTGTTTTTTTAAACTATGTAAAACCTGATAAACATGAGTACCTTTTAAGAACCTCAGACCCTCTACTCTTATAGTAATTTCCAACACTTCATTATTTTTCTAGTTAACTAGTGGAGCTGTGTGGGTTCAGTTTAATGATGGGTCCCAGCTGGTCGTGCAGGCAGGAGTATCTTCTATCAGTTACACATCACCGAACGGTCAGACAACTAGGTAAGTTCTTAAAACACTGGTTGAGATTCAGTTCTTTGCTATAAATTTTCCCTATACATTGAAATAAGTGATTTAGTAAAGTTACTGTTTTCATTTTGACAATGTTTCTATTATTTAAACTATTAATTATTAGGAGTTCATATAGTCTTTTGTTTGTTTGCTTTTATTTCAGAGAGGAAGGGAGAGAGAGGGAAACATCAATGGTGAGAATCATTGATTGGCTGCCTCCTCCTGCACACCCCGCAACCTAAGCATGTGCCCTGACCATGACTTCCTGGTTCAAGGTCTATGCTCAACCACTGAGCACACCAGCCAGGTCCTATAGTCTTTTTAATGCATATTTTACGATTCTCTGCATGATTGTAGGGTAAATGGTATAGATAATCCACTGCAAGTGATTAGATTCTTTGTAGACTTACTCCATAGCCTAACTAGGTTGGCCCTTTTCAGAAATAATAGACTTCTAAGTGTAAGTAATATACCTAAACAGTTTACATCACAAAACATAGAAGCTAGGCTCTAGCTGGTTTGGCTCAGTGGATAGAGCGTCAGTCTGTGGACTGAAGGGTCCATGGTTCAATTCCAGTCAAGGGCACATGCCCTAGTTGCCAGCTCGGTCCCCAGTATGGGGCGTGCAAGAGGCAGCTGATCAATGATTCTCTCTCATCATTGATGTTTCTATTTCCCTCTCTCTTCCTCTCTGAAATCATTAAAAATATTTTTTAAAAAAACAAAACATAGAAGCTAGAAATATTTTTTAAGAGTTAACCAGATTTTTTTCTCAAATGAAAGGCTATATTGTCTTATCTAATGTAAAGTAATTAATGATTGGAACACGTTTTTAATTTATATGTTCATTCTGTATGAAAATGTGTGGCAGACACCATGCTAAAAATGAGGGATCTTGCAATAGCAAGAGTAAGCAATATTTTGGTTTCCATATTTCAAACCATAAGTTACTAAAAAGAGGTAGGGTTGATGATGATGCCAATACCAACATGATACTTTATGAGAAGTGTTTATTGTAAAGGAATTACTTGAGACCAATATAATTTGTGGATATCTATCAATTGCTTTTTTAAAAAATGTGTACATGTGCAGTGCCGTCATTTAAAGAACTACACATGAAGTTAGAGGCTTTGTTTAACAAGCTCTTTCAATTGCTCCAGAAAGTGGATGGATGCAGATATAAAATGGGTAGAATCCATGTTTCAGATGATAAAAGTTCAGATTTATTTGATATAGTCATTTGGAAATTGTTAACATTTAAATAGAAATGTAATCATACGTGTTTAGCTTAGTATTTTCCTTTGATTAGGACCTGCAATCTAATAAGGAATCCAGATCTTCAGGTTGCTTTAGAAATTATAAAGCCAGTTGAAGTGTTTTGGTCTAATTTTATTTTTATTATTTAAATATATTTTGAGCTCGGTCTATTTAGAAAGGAAGCAAATTTGGTATGCTTAACTTGATTAAGTATCTACTTTAATAAATAATTTTGTATAATTTTTCTGAGGTACCTCTGTCAATTGAAGAATCACTGAAAAATATAAATTTTGGTACTCTCATATGAACCAAGTAATTAAGTAATATTTTTGTCTTTTTTTTTCCCACTTAGATATGGAGAAAATGAAAAATTACCAGAATACATCAAACAGAAATTACAGTGTCTTTCTTCCATCCTTTTGATGTTCTCTAATCCAACTCATAGTTTTCACTGATTAAAGCTCCTTTTAGATATATAAGCTTAATAAATAATGTTTTTGTTGGCTTTCAAGGAAAGTGACTTTCTCTTATTTAAAATAACTTCTTCAGAAAGCCTTTCTATAGAAGAGAATTTTAATCTATACCATAATGGATGTATCCTAATCAGAGAACAAAACAGAATGCAACTTAAATCATTTATAAAATATAGTGGTCATAGATTAAAATAGGACAACTAACAATCTCTTAAAAGCAAAAATATAAATGGTGTGTGGTATGTTTGTGCTCTTGTTGTTTTCCCTACTTCTCAGACATAATGAATCATGGAAAAAACATGCTGGAGTTTTTAAATTTTTGAACATGTAAATAATATGTATTTATGTTATAAGGAACATATGTAAACATGTATATTTGTTTTATATTTATTTTTGTAGCACCAGTTTCTGATGAAGCATTTCAACCAATGCATTTTATATTAAAAACAAAACAAAACAAATAAATACAGTGATAAGTTACTTTATTCTTTGATTTATTTAACTGAATACTTATTATAAAATGAAGCTACTAGTAAACTTGTTTTTAAGTTTTGGTGCCTGTTTGTTTAGGAGGAGCCAATTAAATTTTTAAAATTACTTTTGCAAATGGTAAACACATTGTTTCCTTACGCTTATTTGAAAATATGTGTATATTATAATGATAAACAGTTTGACACTGAAGAACTTAATGCAGTTAACATGATGGAATGGAATGCCTAATAGTGGGACAATCATCCCTAATGAAATACTCAAAATGAGAATAGAATGAAACTACTTAAATATGATATAGACTGTTTAACCTAATGTTTTCTGCTGAATTTTATACTCAGAGATATACTGGAGCCAATACCTTTAAGTAGACAGGAATGCCCAATGTAACAATTATTCAACAATGTTTTTGAGGTTTTTGTCTCAAAAGATATGAACAAATGATTCGCAATGGAAATCCATATAGTAATTCCAAAGGATATATGCTCAGCCACATTTAGAGTTAGAGAAATGCAAATATTTCCTTTTATCAGAGATTGGTGAAAAATAGTAAATGAGCAGGGCATTCTCAGATGTTGATTAGAGTATAAATGATAATCTAATATATATTTGGCAATATCTATTAAAATTAACACATTTTAATACATTGGTAATCCAACTTTGAGGAAGAAAATAATGTAAGGAAAAAATACCAGAAATAAAAGAGTTTCCCTCTTAAAAATGGAAATAATTAAAAGAATTCCTAGCTAAGTTTTGCTTTGACAAAATTTAACTAGGCATACTTTTTATAATCTCTTTTGGTCTTAATGTGTCTTTATGTTTCAGGTATTTCTCTTATACTAATATATAACACTAGAGGCCCGGTGCACGAATTTGTGCACCAGTGGATCCCTTGGCCTGGCCTGCGGAGATCAGGCTGCAACCGGATCTCTGACATCCCCAAGAGGTTCCGGATTGCGAGAGGGCAGTTCTCGAGTTACGCACCCCGGAAGCAGGCTCCCTCCTCTCTGGTTCCAGGTGCGTCACCTGAGAACTGCAGCTGCCAAGTCACTGCAGCTTGGCAGCTCCTGTGTTGAGTGTCTGCCCCCGGTTGGTCAGTGCGCATCATAGCTACCGGTCAGACAGTCATTTGGGCTTTTATATATATAGACTAGAGGTCCGGTGCATGAAATTTGTGCACTGGGGGGTGGTGTCCCTCAGCCCAGCCTGCACCCTCTTCAATCTGGGACCCCTCGGGGGATGTCCAACTGCCAGTCCCACTGTGGGATCGGGCCTAAACCGGCAGTCGGACATCCCTCTCACAATCCGGGACTGCTGGTTCCCAACCGCTCGCCTGCCTGCCTGATTGCCCCTAACCGCTTCTGCCTGCCTGCATGATCACCCCCTAGCCACTCCCCTGCCAGCCTGATCAATGCCTAACTGCTCCCCTACTGGCCCGATCGCCCCCAACTGCCCTACCCTGCCGGCTCGGTTGCCCCCAACTGCCTCCCCTGCTGGCCCGGTTGCCCCCAACGCCCTCCCCTGCAGGCCTGGTCACCCACAACTGCCCTCCCCTGCCAGCCATCTTGTGGTCACCATCGTGTGACCAAATGGAAACGGCCATCTTTGATCACATGGGCATGGCCATCTTGTGTGAGGGCATGATGGTCAATTTGCATATTACCTTTTTATTATATAGGGCATACTTGAATTTTGTTTCTTAATTCAATCTAATAACCTCTAGTTTGTTAACCTTTTTTTGTCATTTCTGATTTATTTATATTTTTTTTAATATGTTTTATTGATTTTTTACAGAGAGGAAGGGAGAGGGATAGAGAGTTAGAAACACTGATGAGAGAGAAACATCGATCAGCCGCCTCCTGCATGCCCCCCACTGGAGATGTGCCCGCAACCAAGGTACATGCCCTTGACCGGAATCGAACCCGGGACCCTTGAGTCCGCAGGCCGACGCTCTATCCACTGAGCCAAACCGGTTCTGGCATTTCTGATTTATTTTACTGTCATTACAGTTCTATTACATTGATGTCTGTTATTTCTCCTCTTTCACTTCTGATTTTGTTTATTTGGGTCCTCTCTCTCTGCTTCTTGGTGAGCCTGGCTAGAGGTTCATTCATCTTGTTTATCCTTTCAAAGAACCAGCTCTTGGTTTCATTGATCTTTTGTATTGTTTTTTTGGTCTCTATGTCATTTATTTCTGCTCTGATCTTTATTGTCTCCTTCCTTCTGCTCACTCTGAGCTTTTCTTGTTGCGCTCTTTCTAACTCTTTGGGTTGTAGAGGTAGATAATTTATTACCATTTTTTCTTATTTTTTGAGGTAGGCCTGTAGAGCTATAAACTTCCCTCTCAGGACTGCTTTCACTTTGGATTGTTCTGTTTTCATTGTCGTTCATTTCCAGGATGTTTTTAATTTCTTCTTTGGTCACTTTGGTAACCCAATCATTGTTTAATAGCATGCTATTCAGCTTCCAAGTGTTTGAATTTTTTTGTTTTTATGGTAGTTTATTTCTAATATTATGCCATTTTGGTCTGAGAAGATGCTTGATATGATTTCAATCTTCTTGAATTTGGAGAGACTTTGCCTGTGACCCAGTATGTGGTCTATCTTTGAAAATGTTCCATGTGCACTTGAGAATAATGTATATTCTGTGGCTTTGGGGTGAAATGTTTTGAAGATGTCAATTAAGTCCATCTAATCTAGTGAGTCATTTAGGATTGCTGTTTCTTTGCTGATTTTTTGTCTAGAGGATTTATCCAGTGATGTCAGTGGGATATTAAAGTCCCCTACTATGTTTGTATTGTTGTTGATCTCTCCCTTGATATCTTCCAGGAGTTTATGTATTTGGGTGCTCCTGTATTGGGTGCATATATGTTTACCAGGGTTATATCCTCTTGTACTGATCCCTTTAGTATTATGAAGTGGCCTTATCTCTTGTTATGGCCTTCACTTTGAGGTCTATTTTGTCAGATGTAAGTATTGCTACCCAAGCTTTTTTTGCATTTCTATTTGCCTGAAAGATATTTTTCCATCCCTTCATTTTCTGTCTGTGTGAGACCCTTGTTCTGAGGTGGGTTTCTTATAGACAGCATATATATGGGTCATGTTTTCTTATCCATTCAGCCACTTGATGTCTTTTGATTGGAGCATTTAGTACATTTACATTTATAGTTATCATTGATAGGTACTTGTTTGTAGCCATTTTTATTTTTTGTGCCTGTGTTCCTTCTTCCCTTTTTATTTCTTTTTATGCCAGTCCCTTTAGCATTTCTTGCATTGCTGGCTTGGTATTAATAAACTCCCTTAGCCTTTTTTATCTGTGAAGCTCCTTATTTCCCCTTGGATTTTGAATGATAGCCTGGCTGGATAGAGTATTCTTGGATTCAGTCCCTTACTTTGCATCACTTTGTAAACTTCCTTCTATCCCTTTCTGGCCTGATGTGTTTCTGTTTAGAAAATCATTTGATAATCTAATGGGAGATCCCTTGTACTATCTGTCTGTCTCTTGCAGCCTTTAAGATTCTCTCTTTGTCCGGTACATTTGCCATCATAATTACGATGTGTTTTGGTATGGGTATTTTTGGGTTCATCTTGTTTGGGACTCTCTATGCTTCCTCATTCATTTTCACCTTGAAGTTGTAGCATTCATTGATGATTGTTGCCCAAAGCTATTATTTCACTAGAGGCTGCTTAATGAAGATTTGTCTAATTCTGTTATTCCATTTGTATTTATTAGCTTGGATTATTCTACAGAAAAAAACTTTACCTCATCATTATTTGATTACCTGATGAAGTCTGGGTATAGGAAAGGCAAATTAGATTCTTACTGATTTCAGAGAGGAAGGGAGAAGGAGAGATAGAAACATTAATGGTGAGAGTGAATCACTGGTCAGCTACTTCCTGCACCCCTCCTACTGGGGATCGAGCCTGCAACCTGGGCATGTGCCCTGACCAGGAAACAAATGGCAACCTCCTGGTTCATGGGTTGACACTCAACCACTGAGCCACACTGACCAGGCTACTTTAGTTTTCAGATTAAAAACAAAAGCCGTAGCAACCTCCAAAGGTGACCTATGAATTTATTTTGGGGGTCATTAAGAACTCAGGTTTTCACTTATTTAATATGTTTAAATCCATGGCAGATATTATTTTCAATATATCAATTTTTGGCAAGCAGGAGTCCCTTTATCTGATCCTTGTATCCTTTTGGTGAGCTCTAGGCTTTGATAGCTCCCTTGCTTTCTGGCACTTGCTGTCTCAGGCTCATCTTGTTTCACACCTGGGATCAGCCATTTCTACAAGGAGCCCAGATTTCTTAGAGACCATGTTACCTTAAGTGCCTTCCCATTTCTCTTAAACTCCAAAATACTTAACATAATATTGATATATTACAAATGGATTATCTTCCTAAGTGAGAAACTGATCCCTTCAGTGCTCCGAGTTATTAGTAGGGCCTGTATTGCCTGAAGAAGCTGGGTACAAACAGCTTTGTTTGTTTTCTTTGATGGTGCATATGATACTTTCTAGGATTACAGTGATATGAAAACAATTGAGAGGTATAGGTATAGTGAATAAATATGTTTATTTTAGCTCAGCAAACCTTTCTTTGGTGGAACTCTTCTCCATCCAGTTATCTTTTTTAAAAAATATATTTTTATTGCCGTAACCCAGTGGTGGGCAAACTGCGGCTCGCAAGCCACATGCGGCTCTTTGTCCCCTTGAGTGTGGCTCTTCCACAAAATACCACATGCGGGCGCGCATGTACAGTGCGATGGAAACTTCATGGCTCATGCGCAGAAGCCGGTATTTTGTGGAAGAGCCACACTCAAGGGGACAAAGAGCCGCATGTGGCTTGCGAGCCGCAGTTTGCCCACCACTGGGTTACGGCAATAAAACCCAGGTTCGATTCCAGTCAAGGGCATGTACCTTGGTTGCGGGCACATCCCCAGTAGGGGGCGTGCAGGAGGCAGCTAATTGATGTTTCTCTCTCGTCGATGTTTCTAACTCTATCCCTCTCCCTTCCTCTCTGTAAAAAATCAATAAAATATATTTTTAAAAATAAATAAGAAATATATTTTTATTGATTTCAGAGAGGAAGGGAGGAGAGAGAAACACTAACAATGACAGAGAATCACTGATCTGATGTCTCCTGCATGCCCCCTACTGGGGATTGAACCCACAATCTGGGTATGTGCCCTTGACTGGAATCAAACTGGGATCCTTCAGTCTGCGGGCCAATGCTCTAACCAATGAGCAAAACCAGCTAGGGCTCCAGTAATAAATCTTTAGTCCATGTAATTGAGATGGTCCTCACAGGGTTCTTCCCCCCTCCCTTCTCCACACAATTACATTCCCCAGAATGAATGCATGACCAAGACCTGGGTTAGTAGAGGATTCCACCCCTGCCCATTTGGTCATTTCAGGGATGGGTATATAAGCTAAACTTGGCTACTTGGAGCCTTTTCTGATCCTTCTGCCTGAGCTGTTTTCCTCTGAAATTGTTAGCTACAGAGATACATTCACTGACTTTCCTGTTCAGGTCAGATACCCTGTTCTTCACCCCTATAGTTCCATATACTTCTCTTTCATTGTCCTTCCCTCAAGCATAATTATCTGTGTAATCATTTTACCTATGTCAGACTCTCCTTACTAGGGGCTTATATTTTGTTTACTGCTCTATTTCCAACAATGCAATGGTGATTAAGTAGGTATTCAAAGTATGAATAAGTAATGTTTTAAGGCTTAAGGAGCATAATAATATTTTTATTAGAAAATGTACATTCACAATGTAAAATGTATTAAATTACAAATAAGTCTATAATAGTCAAAAATGGCACCCAAAATATCCTTTCAAAATAACAATCTATTAAATAGGTGCAGATAAGTAGTCTCCTCTTCAAAACAACAAGGTACATAAAGATTTATTTTACTTATGCAAAAGGAAAGTTTCATATGAACTGGAGTTTATTTTAAATGTAGCCAAGCTTAGGAATGTAGCATGAAGCTTTGTGAAGTTATAAATCCCTACAAAATATGACAATCACTCTTTCTTAACAAGTTTAGGTTTTTCAAAACATCTTTTCTTAAATACTGGGTGTGTCCCCAAAAATACATATACACACTTTATCAGCTGATAGCTCAATTTTAAAAATGAAATGTATTGTAATGAACACTGCCTTTATAATTATTCAAAATGTGGTACACATTTTTTGGGACACCTAAATATACTACTTTTAGGAACTTTTCATTTCTTAGTGTCTCATGATCTTTTTCAATTTATACTCAACTTGTCCCACTCAAAACCTCAACTATGTGATTTTTTTCCTCAAACTTTACCTACCTGCTCTCTCCTCAACCCCATGTCACTTCCTCATCTTCTTTTATGCCAAAGTGTGCACTGGTATAATACCACAGAGAAGAAAGTGCTCTCAATAAAAAGGTAGTAGTCATTTTTGCAAGGTTATAGTTTATCTGAATTTTATTCCATGTTATAAGTCTTTAGAAGTTGGAAAACTTTTGGTTTATATTCTTGCATTGAACCAAACTGGTTAACCATTAAGGTAAGATAAAAGCTGTTAATGGGTGTCAAATTATATTTGTCAAATATTTCTGCTAATAAGAGACACTGTTATAGGTAACTTAATTTACCCTACAATTAGCAATTAATTGCCTGCTACTGCAAACTGGGCTATGTTCCTTACTATAAAAAGTACTAGCCCTACCCGGTTTAGCTCAGTGGATAGAGTGTCGGCCTGCAGACTGAAAGGTCCCAGGTTCGATTCCGGTCAAGGGCATGTACCTTGGTTGCAGGCACATCCCCAGTAGGGGGTGTGCAGGAGGCAGCTGATCGATGTTTCTCTCTCATTGATGTTTCTAACTCTATCCCTCTCCCTTCCTCTCTGTAAAATATCAATAAAATAAAAAAAAAAAAAAAAAGTACTAGAGGCCTGGGGCACGAAATTCGTGCACTGGGGGGGGGGGAGGTTGTCCCTCAGCCTGGCCCGTACCGTCTCCAATCTGGGACCCCTCGGGTAAGTCCGATCCCTATGGGATCGGGCCTAAACCAGCAGTCGGACATCCCTCTCACAATCCGGGACTGCTGGCTCCCAACTGCTCGCCTGCCTGCCAGCCTGATCACTCCCTAACCACTCCCCTGCCAGCCTGATTGACACCTAACTGCTCCTCTGCCAGCCTGGTCGCCCCTAACTCCCCTCCCCTGCCGGCCTTGTCGCCCCTAACTGCCCTCCCCTGCTGGCCTAGTCACCCCTAACTGACCTCCCCTGCAGGCCTGGTCGCCCCTAACTCCCCTCCTCTGCAGGCCCGGTCGCCCCTGACCTCCCCTACAGGCTTGGTCACCCACAACTGCCCTCCCCTACTGGCCTGGTTGCCCCTAATTGCCCTCCCCTGCTGGCCTGATCGCCCACAATTGCCCTCCCCTGCCAGCCATCTTGTGGCGGCCATCTTGTGGGAGGGCATGATGGTCAATTTGCATATTACCGCTTTATTATATAGGATAGTGGTTAGTTAAGAATGTGGACTCTGTGGCCAGACTATTACTTAGACAAGTACTTTAACTTCTCAGTACCTCTTCACCTGTATGAGGGGAATCATGATAGTGCCTATAATATGGTACTATAAAACTGAGAATTAAACTGTACATTACACATTACCTGGGATGTGAATTCTATAAATGTTCACTATTATAGTTTTCATCATTACTATTATTGATGTTATTTCTGTCATGCACGGTACTTAAACCAAGGGTGAAGTTTACTCTTTAGGATTAGAGTGCCCCCAAAAATGTAAGACAGAAGAAGGAGTTGTGAACATTAGGGAAGAGGGATCCCAGGACGTGACCAAACAGCCAGAAAATTGGTTCTAATAAATCTAATTGAAGCATAGTCTTGCTATGGGAGGTGGAGAAGAGTGAAAACAATCTTAAAATGTAATCACAGGATGATTTCTGTCAGATTAAGCCTTTTATTACAGCCAAAGAAGTTGGATTTAAGAATACAACAAACCTCAGTAGCAAAAAACACAGAACAATCCAATTTAAAAATGGGCTGAAGATCTGAAAAGACATTTGTCTAAGGAAGACGTACAAATGGCCAACAGGTATGTTAAAAGGTGCTCCACATCACTAATCCTCATGGAAATGCAAATCAAAACCACAGTGGAGTATCACCTCACACTTCTTTGTGTGTGTGTGTGTGTGTATTATTATTCAGCTATAAGAAAGGAGATCCTGCCATTCCTGATGACATGGATGGACTCTGAGGGCATAATGCTAGCTAGGTATGATATGAATTTTATGTGGAATCTAAAGAGGTGAACTATTAGAGGGAGAAAGTGGTATGATAGTTTCCAGGGTGTTGGGATGGAGGAAACAGAGATGTTGGTTAAAGAGTACAAACTTCCTGCTACAAAATGAATAAGTTCTGAGGATCTGCGGTACAACATTGTGATTATAGCTAATAATACTGTATTATATACTTAAATGTTGCTACGAGAGATCTTAAATGGTTTCACCACCAAAAGGAAATGGTAATTATGTGATGTGATAGAGCAGTGGTTCTCAACCTTGGCTGCACATTAGAATCACCTGGGAATCTTTTTAAAATCCTGATTTCTGGGCCTCATCCTCCGGAAATTCTGTTTCTTTGTTATGGGGTGGGGCCACTGTGATAGAGATATTAATTAATGCTATGGTAGTATAATTTTATAATATATAAGTGTATCAAATCAACATGTTGTATACATTAAACTTACACAATGCTATATGTCATATCTCAATAAAGCTGGAAACAAACAAAAGACATAGGAAGAATACATCCATCTACAAGCCAAGGAGAGAGGCCTCAGAAGAAACTAACCCTGCCAACACCTTGATCTTGGACATCTAACCTCTAGAACTGTGAGAAATAAATTTCTGTTGTTCAAGCCAAAAAACAAAACAAAAAACAGTACCACACACTTAGTATAAAGTGCAGATTATAGTCTTTACTTTCAATTTTGAAAATATTTATAGAGTAGGAAACATTTGGAAAAGTATTTTGAAATATCTTTACTTTTTTTTGTAATTCTGATTATCCACAAACATATTTCTATACTAGTTCCTTGTATCAGCATTCAACTTAGGTAGAGGTAGAAATGTATACATAGAGACCATATACTCAAGTAAACTCAGTAAACTGTGTTAGGTTAAAGACATTTGTTTCAAATATTATCCTGACTAGATTGGGGCTGTCATGGCTCATCCAAATGTAAAATAATGCAGATCTGAATAGCTGTGCAGATATAGACTGAAAACTGTTGTGTCTACCTTGTCACTAATAAGTGGTGGGAAAAGTAAATAAAGTAATAGTTTTCCTCCAGAATTTAAGGGAGTTGAAAATGCCAATAATTATAATTAACAGTTTGTTTCAGTATATGTATATAATAACACATACACAATAACACATACCTGGCTTATGTCTCCAAAGCAAATTACTTATTAGCACTTGGAAGAAAAAGTAGTTAACTCTACTAAAGGTAGTAAAATTCATCCTGGTCTCTTAATCCTCTTTATTACTTAAATATTAGCATTATCCATATTCATGTATTAATTTAGTTATTTAGTGAGATAAGACAGAAGGTGTATTAAAAATAAAGAAGGTAGGATGGGAGACATAGTAAGTGGAAAATTTAAGAGTCATGATATTTATTTCATAAGGGAACTTGATAGTAACATTTTAAATAAATAAAAAGTAGGTATCTTTGATTTGGTCAAGATACCTACTATTTAGGTAAGCCGTTGCTATAATTTCATTCTGTTATACGTAATTCTTCTAGAACTTTACTGTGGTTCCACTGCATAGATATCCTCTCATTGTTTTAAGTGATACCTCTGCAGTTTGGAGAAAAAAAATAGTTTCCCATTTATAGACCATTGCTCATTCACTCATGAATTCATGTAACCCCCAAAGGTGCTGAGTGAAGAATATTTCTTTTTTGAGATAAAGAAATTGACCCAGAATGTTTTTTTATATTATCTTACTATTCAGTTACTCATAGAATTCCGTGTTATTCAATATATTCTCTTGCTTTTCAAAATATATAATACCCGAAGCCTGACTTTTGGAAACTGACTCATAGCAACTGTCTGACAGAGCCTTAGTAAAGGAAGTCCACACAGCAAGTACTGTGCATCCCAGTGTTAGTTAGCTAGGTTCCTCTTGAATCCTTCCATGCCTTACAGAAAAAGCAACGAGTCTTCTGTAAACCACTCCCAGGAGTGTGATGGTGAGCACAACTATTCCACACACAAGGCTGAATGCCCATCGTGGGCCCCAGGAAGTGTACACTTGGCTGATGAACACGGGTCCAAGAATCCGTGCCGCACTTCCAGAAGCTGTTAACCAGCCCATGTACACACCCTGTGAGGTGGGGATGGGGAGAAGCAGATTGATATTCAAGTTTAGTTATTTTAAAAATAAGAATGATGCTACTATTACAAAACTATGGGAAACTCACAGGAATCACTTTCTCCATCTTTGATTTGTGAATTACATATAAAATGCATTTTTATAAATACAGCAAATAATGAACAGTAAACTTACCTGATAGAGTCAGCTTAGAAAAAACAAAAGTAGTAGAAAAGAACAAATTAAATATCTGCTGAGGCCCTGGGAACAATAGAATTTATTAATTTACTTTTTAAGACTAACATTTATTTTGTACTTGCTATCTTCCACACACTGTGTTAGGTGTTTTACATATATTTGCCAATGTTCACAAATGTTTATTACTGGTGTCCCTACAAATGTGGAAGCTGAAGCTCAGAAATTCAAGTAACTAACAAGATCTCTGAAGCCATGTGTGCCTAACTCCACTGTACCACCTTTCCACTGTACCACGTCACTCCTCCAATTACTGTGCAGTGCAGCATTACCTTTAATAGTCTCACATTGAAAACCTAACTGTCCACATATCTCACTCATATGTGAGATATAATGATAAACATAATCTGATGAACAAAAATAGATACAGAGACAAATGGCAGGGGAGGGGGGGTTAGAGAGCAACCAAAGGACTTGTACGCATGCATATTAGCATAACATGACACAGACACTGGGGCAGTGGGAGCTTGCCCAGGGTGGGAATGGCTGGGGGCAGGGGTGTCAATCGGGGAAAATGAGACATATGTAAAACTTTAGACAATTTAAAAAAAAAGAAAACCTAACTGTTCATCAGTGGTGGATTAAGTAAATAAATTATGGTATATTTAATTAATGGAATGCTAAGCAGTTGCTAAAAAGATTGCAATTGTTTCTGATATTTTTCTCCATTTTGCTTCTATATTTTAATTTTTATATCATGAATATGGAAATTCTTATAATAAAAACTAATTTTAAAATATACATAGCTGCTGTACTTGTTTTTTTCTTTATTGATTAAGGTATTACATATGTGTCCTTATCCTCCTCTTGCCCACCCCCCCCCCCCACCCCCGTCCCTGCTCATGCCCTCATTCCCCTGTTTTCTGTGTCCATTGGTTATGCTTATATGCATGCATACAAATCCTTTGGTTGATCTCTCCCCCTTACCACCACCCTCCCCTACCTTCCCTCTGCGGTTTGACGGCCTGATCGATGTTTCTCTGTCTCTGGATCTGTTTTTGTTCATCAGTTTATGTTGTTCATTATATTCCACAAATGAGTGAAATCATGTGATATTTATCTTTCTCTGACTGTACACTTTTAAGGCTATTGTGTTTTCATCTTTTAGTAATCGTACCTAGGGCCAAATGAAATTAAGCCTAGAGTCAAATTTGCCTATCAATTTTGGTTTCCCAACTGTTGCCTAGTTTAAGAATGAGTTTCAGAACTTTATGCTTCAGATATTTTTTTTCTATGAAAATGATTTTGAGCTCATAACCTCTGAGTTCAAGAGAGCTTTGAGTTTTTAGAGTGCTTTTTTTGTTCAGTTTCAACACACAAGTCCTATAAGTACTTTTTAAAAATTGTCGGGTTTTTTTATAAATTCAAAATGCTGAATATGATAAAAATCCCCTATACCAGCTTGTGTGAAAATAGAGAATGGTAGCACAGAATGTCAGTGAAGCATATTTCACATAATTGCAATGCCAGGGTAATTGACTCACCTGAGGTTTTGGTCCCAAAATTTTTGAATATAATGTATATGACATAACATTGCAGGATGGATAGCCTATTCCAATTAGCACAACTGATGTGAGGAACTGGGCTAGATGGATCACGGGGGTGTAGAGGCACCAGGCTTGTTCAATTGGGCAACCAGTTGGTCCTTCACTCTGATCTTCTCTTGGAGACCGCCAAAGAGTAATAATAATTTCCCCAAATGTGGTATTAGGAATTGAATGATTATGTAAATCTGTAAAAACAAAATTAGTATAGTGCATGACTTATTACTAGATGAATAACGGATGCAATGTAACATTATAGAATTATGTATGGATATACCTTCCCACTGTATCTTGGGAAATTGATTTCCCCAAGGTAACAAGATAAAGAAGCCAATCCATATGATGACAAGTCCTCCCAGTAGAATAGCACGCTCACCAATCCTGTTAGAGAACAAAAACATTATAACAGTTTCATTACTTTTATCATTTCAAAAACTATAAATAAAATATTTTGATGCTTTTAGTGATATATCAATTAAATGAATGCTAAATATAATTTCCCACTAAGAACCAGGACTTCTCTAAAAACTGGCTTATTTCAGATCTGGTACAGAAAAATGTATAAACTGAGCCTGGACATTTACTAGGTGTATCGGTTAATAATGCGGATTTTGTAATGAAAGAAAACACGATAACTTCAAGAGAAACATCAAATGTGCTTTATTCAGCCCTGACTGGTTTGGCTCAGTGGATAGAGCGTCGGCCTGCAGACTGAAAGGTCCCAGGTCCGATTCCGGTCAAGGGCATGTACCTTGGTTGTGGGCACATCCCCAGTAGGGGGTGTGCAGAAGGCAGCTGATCGATGTTTCTCTCTCATCGATGTTTCTGACTCTCTATCTCTCTCCCTTCCTCTCTATAAGAAATCAATAAAATATATATTTTTTTTAAAAAGTGCTTTATTCAAAGTAATGTCCATCGTTAGCTATACATTTCCCCCATCTTTCAGGTAATCTGTGGATATCATCCCAATAGAACTTTTCTTGTTTTAAGGCAAACCATTCAGAGACCCAATTTTCCACTTCTTCGTACAATTTGAAGTGCTGCTCAGAAAGTGTGTGTGCCATAGATCGGAACAAGTGGTAATCTGAAGGAGCAAGGTCTGGTGAATACGGCAGGTGGGTTAATACTTCCCAGGCAAGATCTTTTAATGTGTCTTTAACTGGTTTTAAAGTGTGTGATGGGTGCATCATCATGAAGTAAAATTACTTTGCCATGTCTTCTGGTCCATTCTGGTCGTTTCACAATCAAAGCGTGGTTCAAATTGATTATTTGTTGTCGGTAGCGATCAGTATTAATGGTTTCACCTGGTTTTAGAAGCTCATAATATACCATACCTTCCTGAGCCCACCAAACGCAGAGCATTGTCTTCTTTTTGAAGCATTTGGCCTTGCCGTCGATGTTGATGGTTGTCCTGGATCAACCATGATTTTGTGCGTTTGAGACTCTCAAAATAAATCCACTTTTCATCGCCAGTTACAATTTGATGCAAAAAAGACTTTCATGCCATTGAAGCAAAATTTTACTGATGACTTTTCGGTTTTCCATTTGTCTTTTGTTCAGTTGATGTGGCACCCATTTTCCTTCCTTTAAAATCTTTCCCATTGCTTGTAAGCGATCGGAAATTGTTTGCTGAGCAACGTTTAATCTTTCTGCAAGTTGTTTTTGAGTTTGACACGCATCTTCATCCAATAATGCTTGTAATTGTTGGTTTTCAAACTTTTTTGGTTGACCTGGACGTTCTTTGTCTTTCACATCGAAATCATCAGTTTTAAAGCATTTAAACCAGCGTTCACATGTATCTTGAGATGGAGCATGTTCACCATAAGCTTCTTGAAGTATTCAGCAGCACTTTTCTTCAAAATAAAGTAATGAATTAAAATTTCCCACAAATGCTCTTTTTTTAGGCACAAAATTCAACATTTTTAAGTGTAAAAATATCTATTACGTTAACACCTTCAGCAAAATTGACATATGAAGTTTTGAAGCTTGTTGTCAATACAACAAAATAGCATACATATCAAATCGCATATATATCAATATATGTGTAACTCCATCTATTGAAAAATAATCCACATTATTAACCGGTACACCTAGTAGTCATACCAGAGTGCAGAAAAGCTACCAGTGACTACTAGATCATGATAAAAGGACTCAGAGCCAATTGGAAGAAGCATGACAATGTGAACACTAAAAAGAATAGTAATGACAATGGACTGAAACACATAAAAATGTTATAATCTATGAATTCATATTATATTAAAATACTCTTGGTCACTTTTAAGAGGATATTAGCAAACCAATTCTTTATTTTAAAAGCCAGTTAATAAAATAAAAGGAAAGAATCACCCTGTCTTTCCTATACAGACTGTACCTCAGAATAACCAAACAGTTGGTGACAGGAAGTTTCTCTTTATTGAAAATACTACAGCAAATAAATAAAGAAATGATAAAATTAAAATAGCATTTTGCAATGACCTATGAATGAATTAATGGATCTAGGGAATGTCAATGACCACTTACATAATAAAAAGATAAACAAAACATTACATTTCTCCAGATGTAAGTTTATAACACCACCTATAAATTATTCTTGTCAAAAAAATTAAACTCGTGGAGAACCAAGATGGCGGCATAAAGTATAGACCTTTTGTGTGCTGCCTCCCACAACAACATTGAAACTACCAACTATAAGACAAAACAGCTATCATCCAGAACCATGGGAAAGCTGGCCCAGTGGAAGTTCTACAACTGGAAGGAAAGAAAGAAGCGCATTGAGACTGAGTAGGAGGTGCAGAGGCGCCAAGAACAGAGGTACAGACTCGCGCGCCAGGTGGGCTGCAACTGGATGCGCGGTTTTTTTCAATCGGAAGGGGATACAAGCTCTCGAATCCACTGGGCTTGTTGGGGCAGGATTCTGAGGTCCCAGACCCCTACGGGGAGAGGCGGGACTGCCTTGCAGCGGGTCGAAGAGTGAGGGTGGCTTTCTCGCGGAGCTGCTCGCCAGCACTCGGCACTCGGGGACGTGGAGATGCGGAGTCTCGGAGAGGCGAGGAGTCATGGAGATGCTGAGGACAACCATTGCTGTTTTCTCCGCCCTGGTGATTCCCTGAGACCCCGCCCTACTCAATTTACATCCCCACCAAAGCTGTGCCAGTGGCACAAAAGGAACCACCTGCGCTTTTGCAGCCTAACCCAACAAACTGCAGATTTCAACTCCTCGCATCCATAAGGGACACACTCAAGAAGCAGAATCAGGTTTGGAGGAAGCCGGAGCCAGACCTGGCTGGGCCGGCGACATGGAACCGCTGTACCAGCAAACGCACAGGCAGGTCCACCAGATCCAGTCTCACATGGGACGCCGGGAGACAGCAGACAAGCAGTCTGTGCAATTAGTAGAAAACGAAATCGAAGCAAGCATACCAGATATTAAGCCAGCTAGAATGCCTGGAGATTTTGTCCAGCAAGGAGCTTCCCAACAAAAGACAGAATGCCAAACTTCGTGTTGACCAGTTAAAGTATGATGTCCAGCACCTGCAGACTGCTCTCAGAAACTTACAGCATTGGCGATACGCAAGGGAGCAGCAGGAGAGACAGCGAGAGGAGCTTCTGTCTCGCACCTTCACCCCCAACGTGGGATGCAGCGCCCCCTGCAAGGCTGCATGAGGCTGCGACGGCCCTTGCGAGGCTGTGACGGCCCCTGCGAGGCTGCGACGGCCCCTGTGAGGCTGTGACGGCCCCTGCGAGGCTGCGACGGCCCCTGTGAGACTGAGACGGCCCCTGTGAGGCTGAGATGGCCCCTGCGAGGCTGCACTGGCCCCTGGGAAGCCAAGAAAAATACCACATGATCTCACTCATTTATGGATAATAAAGACCATTATAAACTGATGAACAACAACAACAAAAAAGCTTTCCAGACAAAAAGAGGTTAAAGCAGTACATTAACACCAAACCATCAATGCAAGAAATGTCAAAGGACTGCTCTAAGAAGAAAAGGAGAGAGAT